TCATCAAAGAATTCTAATAGATTTGTCAGGCATGACTTCCCCTTGACAAAACCATACACTTCAAAGTACTCCGGAATCTCATCCTTAAAAATGGATTTTAAAATCTTATCAATGACCAAGTTCAGGCTAACTGGCCTTTAATTTTCCATCATCTGCCTCCCTCCTTTCTTAAACAGAAGTGTTCAATTAGCCATTTTCCAATCCTCTGGGACCCCCCTTGACTCCAATGATTCCTGAAAGATCACCAACAATGCCTCCACAGCTATCGCCTTTAGAATTTTAGGATGAAGTCCATTTGATCTGGTGATTTATCTGGTGGCAGATCTCCGACTCACTTACAGAATGCTCCTGCATTTCAATGCTGCACCTTAGGCTGCACCTGGGTGATTATTGTAATGCTGCAATAAGGACAGTTTGCACTCAGGAACATGCCCATGGACTGGAGCAGACTGCATTTCCACATTGTCTTAGCACTCACTATGAGCCTACCTGGATGCTCCCAGCATCCCTGCCTTGCAATGCACATCTTGCCTTGCCTTTTTGTGTCTTTCCCCTTTAGCCAGAGATTCCTGGCTGAATGTACTGTTGCATTGCCTTAGCATTTAGTGCAGACACAAAAACAGAAAGTTTTCATGGTTGTCAGCGATCCTCAAGTAAAGCCAAGGTATATAGCCTTCAGTGAGGGGGTCCGGGACAGTCAATCAAGCCCAGCCTCCATTACCTGTTCAGGAACTTGGACACTGTTGGTCAGTTACTGGGGGCAGTCAGAGTAAGGATCCTTTTCACAAGGGGTGAGGAACCAAATGTTGGCAACCCAGTACCTGTTCCTGTATTACTGTGAGCTGTTTTCCTCCTTGAATGAGAGAGAGAGATAAGTACTAAGGGAGATGAAAATAGATGGCTAAGCAATTACTTCTAGTGCAGTGACTAAGCGAATGAGTCAGTAGTGCAGAAGGCACGCAGAGTTAGTGCTGTTTGGGGGTTGGGGTCAGCGCTATTGGATGTTGGAGTCGGTGATATTGAGTGAGGGAAGATTTGCAGGCAACAGTCAGAATGGTAAAGCATGGGCTTTGGTGGGCGATCAGTGACTGTAACTCTCTCAGATTGGTCTCCTGGTTGAGTCTTGTCTGACTAGTTACCTCTGGGTCAGTTTTCATGCAGTTTTGCCCGACACAGTTGTGCCTCCATGTGGCCCAGCAGTGACAGAGATAGCACTGCTATTGGCTATGACTGTATCAGTGCTGTTGCCTGGCTAAATGACGCAGAGACAAACTACAAAGTGGCTGTTTGATCCGCATAGATCCAGGTGGTTAGCATAGCTTAGTACCCACCCATCAAAAAGAAAAAGAAGAGACTGGTTGGGAGCGTCCAGGGCAAACAACTTCCTGCAGGAGTGTCAGTGGTGGTGCTCTGTGATAAGTACAGATGCCACACAAAATCCAGTTGTCCATCAGAAGAGACACTATACCGTTATACTGTTCCTGTGTAGAACTGGATTCGGTCTCAGGCTTGTTAGAGCAGGGGTTCCATAGTTGAAGACTAGCGTATTATCAATGAGGCTGTCTGGGCAGCCCGCCCAAAGGGTTGTAAGACTCATATCATCTATATCAGAAGGACTGGACTGGAATAATAGAATAGATATTTATACCTATGTTAAAACTGAGCTGGTTTTATGCAATGAGGACAAACATTTTCTCTTTGATGCCAGGGTATCGTGTGTATATAGGGGAATTGATGATGTGGTCAATGTTGGCACTTACACATGGTCTTACTGTATGGATGGTTAATTTGTGAATTGGTTGTTATTGTTACTTGATGTTTAATGAGATTGTAATTGTATTGGTGCTATTAAAGAAAGCAAAAAGGGCACATCAAATGATGTTTTCAGTAAACTGATTAAAATAGTTTCTGGCTCTATGTTCCAAGGGCGATGATAATCCATGCTTGGTGATCTGATTCATTTAGCATTCTAGGTAACATATAATGCCACTCCTCTATAAGACCAGTGGTTAGCTACTAGAGGTTTTAAAATATCAATGGACAATGTATAAACCAGGACAAAATCACACATCAGTGTATCTCAAAATAGCAAAGATAGAGTGAGTGAGTGTGAGATATCGGAGAGAAGATGGTGACACTTATGCTAGCAAAGCGGAGAAGGTTATTGACCTTCTTCCTATATTGCTGTGGATTTATCTAGACAGCTGAGACTACACTGACCCAGATAGTGACCACTATCCAGACTAGCATGGTTGGGTGTCATGTCCTCCAAGCCAGTTCTGCATGTAGTGAAAGTCCTGCCTCTGCATTACCTTGTCCACCAGGTCCTCCAGGTCCTTGCCCACAAAGCAGGGTGCCAATTTTCCCTTGTCTACGATATCAGGAACAATATAGGGCAGCTCCAGATGAGCAGTGCTTGCCTGGGTGCAGAATGACCTTTTAAACATGGCCACTGCACCAGGGAAGGCAATCCATTCTGGGATATCCCAATAGTGATGAGTTATTCCGGGTACTGCAAGTGCTATAATGGATCGAGAATCAGGCATGAGAAAAGCCATGGGTGGAGTAGGTAGTTAATGATGTGAGTTCAATAAGGTGAGTTTGGTAAGATACAGCAAGAAATTTCATTTGCCCTCATGAAGAGCAACCCTCCATGAGACTTGACAAAACTGACACTTATCTAAAAAAAGACTCAGCTCTCAGGTTTTCATTTCCTACCACTAACTGTTTTCTTCTGGACTTGTCTTTGACAGTGAGTTGTTGAAGTGCTTAGAATCTTTTTTTATTTGCAATTTTGGGTTGTTCTGCCAGACAAGGTAGGCTGCTCAATTTTTATTCTAGGAGGTCTCATATTCATCATCGTTTTCATCAAATCAGTTCTGTTGACAACAATATTAAACCAAATGGTCTCATGTAGAAGTTTAGAACAGCAGGCTGTATTCAACTCCACTATTAAGGAATTGAGTTGGTGTATAAAGCTTTTCCAGATTCATCATGTGCTGCATTTGGATTTCCACTCTTTTGTTAGGCTGATTTAGAGCTGAGACATTGACTTCCTCTTGCATTTTTGAGCCTTGCAATGACTTGGTGCCTGATGGATGTTCATCACCAATCGACCAAGACAAAGTACTGTCATTCAGGGGAATGTTATTATCCAAACAATCTCAAGGGGGTGATGATCAGATTTCAGGGATATGTTAAACCATGATGATTGGGATCACCCTGCCAATGCTGACTTCTTCTGCTTTTGAAATTGCCAGTGAAATGCCTAGTCTTCATCTGTCTGTTTTGCTATGGATAACATTTTGGATTGTACTTTGTTTGGCATCTTCATGCCTTGCACTATGGATCGCCCTACCAGGAGCAAGTGGCTCTCAAAACCATTCAAGGGATTGTTGAAGCATGGAAGTCTCTTCACCAGGTAAAGGTGATGATCCATGCACAAAGATCCAATCATAGTGTATCTCACAAGAGTTGGCATGTCACACATAAATTATACTGGTCTACCAGTTGTAGTTTGTTTAACACCAGGCATAGTGAGTTTCATCATTCATTGCGTATCTCATACCTTATATAGTGTGTTGTAAAGTGTGTGATTTATATGTGTATATTAATATAATTTAACTTACAATTTGGATTTTGAACTAATGGCATGCAGAGTTTGCTCTATGTATATGAGGGCGTTTAATAATTAATTTGTCAGTCCTTCTGGAGCTATAAATTTTTGAACTAGTTTGAGAGAAAGAAAGAGCTCCAAAGTGACAATGTGAAATTATTGGAATTGTGGGAGCTTTACAAATGACCAGAGTAAACATTGAAAAACATTAGCTTGCTTTCAGTTCAGTTGAATCAGGAATTGATATTTTTTGCTGAGGGGAAGAATCTATAGATTGGAAAGATTTTGGTTCATTGTTCACAAAATTCCTGTTTAAATTTAGATGCAAACACAGCTTATCCTGGAGAAAGAAATTAGTTCAGCATAGTTAGAAAATAAATTTCAGACCAAAAGTGTGTGGTTAAAACCCTGAGGGATTCTTTGAAAATGAGAAAATCTAAACTCAGTTGTGTGAATAACCAAGGAAAAAGCTATCAAACTCTCAAGATCAACAATCGAAAGAAACAGATAAGTCATGCCTATAGATGTGATGGAAAAGGGAACTCTCTCTAAAAAGTACTGTGAAGTGATGCTGTTGGGACAGATGGTATTGTACTTTTACTGTGTTTAGGAATCTTTCAAATATGGACAATGTAAATAGCTTGGTTTATTCTAATTCATCTTAACTTCTTTTAAAAAATACATTTCTGTTTTACTGTTAAAACTAAATCTGCAACATTGTGTGCTTGTGTTTCATTAAAAGACCACCTTGTTCAATTAAGAAAAGCAGAATATGATATATCAAACCAAATTTCAATCCAGGACCTAACTTGTCCAGTAATAACACCAGCTGGCATCATAACAGTAATATGTCTCTTTCAGTTGTTATGTGTTTCACCCATAGCTCAAAATGACTATCCAAGATACCTAAAACTTTATCCTCCCACAGATCGAGCAGTCAGATCAACACCTATGCAGATTGAGTATTGGGACCTCCCACTGCTACATTGGTGCAGTTTATGCCTGTTTTACATTAAAAAAACAGGTACAACCTGTACCATTTACTGTCCCCTGAAGTGGTGGAACAAGTCCCTCAATTGTATCATCAATCACTTTTAGCAGTTAGGGTTGGGCAGTAAATGCTAACTTTGCAACTGTTCCCATCCCCTTACAACCTGCTGTTTTATATTTTCCACTATATTCTTAAACTGGTAATTAATTTGGTCTCCCAGCTTTCTTCAATTTATCGATGTGTGCTGGACGTAGGGCCCAGTTTGTTTGTATGTAGAATAAGGTTGTTAGGTCATTGACCAGGGGTTGTACCAGAAGGTGTCACTCTGAGTCTTGGAGCAGTCTCTTCAACTGGGGGTGGCTCTGTTCAGCAACAGCTGGCAGTCAAATCAGACTGTCCAAATTTACAAGCCACACAAACAACTTCAGGACTCTGCATTCCCAGCTTCCAGGATTTGCTTAAACTGCAGCTCTGTGTGTCTCTCTCTCACCTTAAACAGGTATGTTCAAGGTTTTTTTTTAATGTGAATAATCCCTAGTTATAAAGTAATGTAAAATGTAATATAACTAAATACAGTTAAATAGATAATCTAAACAAAATCTCATTGAAGTGTTGGTTGAAATACCTTTTTTAACATCGTTTACGATCATGTTTGATTGAAACTGTTTCCCTACACCCTCACTACACCTGAACCTTTTGAAGTGGATTTTAATGAGATTGATATAAGAGAGGACACTTTCTGGTAAGTTGTGCAATTGAATTTAATGTGACTCCAAGTACTGAAGCTTTTTGGAATTTCATTGTGTTCCTTCTTTAAGTGGCAACCCTAACAAGCTTAGAGAAACATTTACTTCAAATATCTTTCAGTTGTAAGAAGGAGCAGTAATTTCCCCAAATCCTTTGGGGATTTGGAGTTGGCGAGTACTGACTAATTGCCTGTGCTGCTGGTAAGTACAACTAGAGTCACTTCAAAAGACACAGATCTTCCTTTAAAAAAATTAAAAACGTTTATGTATAAATATTTATTTTCAGAAGATTTATCTTCTGATAAAGGAGTTCATCATTTTTTTTACTGCAATTACCTTCTCAATCTACACGCACACCCCCACCCCCATCCCTACTCCCACCCCACCTCATCACAATGCCGTCAACACTGATTTATTTCTGGGGCGTGTGCCCCAAAGTGTAAGTCATATTTATGAATTGTACTTGGTTGCTTATTCTCCAAATGTGGGACCAGAGTAGGAAGACTGCCTTTTACCTTCAATGTGGGCATTGTTATCTGGCTGTTGGCTGTAACTCAATGAAAATAGCTGACAGACATGAGCCTGACCCAGCTATTTGACTGTGGGTATCTTGCTCATTATTGTTGAGGTCAGACACATATTTTACAATTCACCTGATTTTACTCATCAGTGACCTCAATAAATTTCAACCTCAAACTATTCCTTTCTCCCCCTGGCAAGCTGGTTTAAAATTGGACTTACAATATGCTTGCTATTTATTTTCCATTTAAGCAAAGCCATGGGAAGTAGATGCTTATTTATTACAAACAACCAAAATAGGAATAGAAGTAAACCATTTCACCCTTTGAGCTGCTGCATCATTCAGCAACATTTGTTCTCTGCATGTTTAGAATTCTACATTCCCACCTATCTCCCAAAAGCATTTGATTTCTTGCCTACCAAGAATCTACTGTCCTTCATCTTTAAAATATTTAATGACCCCACTTCTATCGCATTCACTATGTAAATAGTGAATTTCACAGTGTAAATTCACTATTTACACTGTGAATAGTGTAAATTCACAGATTTACACTATCCATGAGGGGCATGGATAGTGTAAATAGCCAAGGTCTTTTCCTCAGGATAGGGGAGTCCAAAATTAGAGGGCACATGTTTAGGGTGAGATGGAAAGATTTCAGAGAGAAAAAAAGTTCTCCTCATCTCTGTCCTGAAAGGGAAACCCCTAATTTTAAAACAGTGGCCCCTATTTCTGGACTGACCCACAAAAGGAAACTTCTTCCCACATTGACTTCATCAAGACTATTTAGGATCTTCACCTCAGTCAAGCCACTCCTGACTCTCTGAAATTCCAGAGGAAACAAACCCAGCCTATCCACCTTCCCCATGAGCCATACCACTCATTCCAGAGATCATTCCAGTAAAGTTCCTCTGAACCAGTTCAAATATGTTTAATCCTTCTTTAATTATGGAGACCAAAATTGCGCACAGTATTCAAGATGTGGTCTTACAAATGCCCCTATTCTTGGAAAGAGGCTACAGGGTGGAGGGATTTCGGATATGTTGGAATAGAGAGGGAAGAACTGGGAAAGGGAACAGGATAGCATAAGGGAGAAGTGGGGAAAAGGAATAAGGGAGGAGATGGGGCATGTGGAAGAAGGACGAGAGACAGAACACGGAAAAAGAGAGGTAGATGTGAGGCAGAAACAGGATGGGATGGAGGCATAGGACAGGTGAGAAAGTGTGGAAGAAGGGAATGAGGAAGGGCTGCTAGGGGAGGGGAAAAGGACAGGGCATAACAGTGTTGCCGGAGTTGGAGGGTTTGAGCTATAAGGAGAGGCTGAATCGGATGGGGCTATTTTCCCTGGAGCATAGGAAGCTGAGCAGTGGCCTTACAGAAGTTTATAAAATCATGAGGGGCATGGATAGTGTAAATAGCCAAGGTCTTTTCCTCAGGATAGGGGAGTCCAAAATTAGACGGCACATGTTTAGGGTGAGAGGGAAAGATTTAAAAGGGAATTAAGGGGCAATTTTTTCAAACAGAGGGTGGTGCGTGTGTGGAATGAGCTGTCAGGGGAAGTGGTGGAGGCTGGTACAATTACAACATTTAAAAGGTGTCTGAATGGGTATATGAATAGAAAAGGTTTAGAGGGATATTGGCCAGGTGCTGGCAAATGGGACTAGATTAATTTAGGAAAACTGGTCGGCATGGACAAGTTAGACCAAAGGGTTTGTTTCCATGCTATACAGCTGTATGACTCTATGACTCTAAATGGTCACGTAGAGTTTACTATGAAACTTCTTCCTGTGTCAAGGATCCACGGCAGAGATACCATGGAATCAGGGAGAAAGCAGTTGAAGAAGATCAAAGACAAGCTGCCGGTGACAGGACCACAGGCAGCGAGTGTCCCTGAGTTACTGCGATGGTACTGCTATCACACCAACACCCATGGCTGCCGCAGGATTGTGGTATCGAAAGGCCGTCTGCGGAGGGCAGCTTGGATGATCCTGACACTGATTGCGGTGGGCATCATCGTCTGGCAGTGTGCCCTACTCATCATTTCTTACTACACTGCCTCTGTCACCATCACTGTCCAATTTCAGGAAATCACCTTCCCAGCTGTTACCATATGCAACATGAATCCATATAGGTCAGTATTTATGATCCACAACCTGCAGTTCATCAATTCTCAATCCTCAGCCTCTTACTAACTCTACACTCTCTGTGGATACTAGGATCTGTCTAAAGAATACACCTCCCATTTATGTAGCATCTTTCTCAATCTCAGGACACCCAAAAGTGGTTTATACGCATTGAACTACAACAGAAATGTTGTCACTTGTGTAGGAAATGCAGCAGCTAATTTGGAACACTGCAAGCTCCTAAAAGCAGTGAGGACTTGATAGGTAATGTGCTTCGGTGGTGTTGACTGAAGGATAAATTTGGCCACAAAAGTGAGGGAACTCCTTGTTCATCTCCAAACTAACACAATGGGACCTTTACATCTACTTGAGAGAGCCAACAGGCCATGGGTGTAATAATTCATTCAATAAAATTTCTGAACGGATGATGTGAGCAATTAGTGAGTGAGAGGTCAATTTATAGACTTTAGTGTTAATACATTCAAATGCAAAGTAATTAAATTTATTTGGGAAAACAATAATATGGATACAGTATCTGAGTAGTTTTAGATTAGTCACGTAGTGAGTGCACCGTAAGTTTATAGGAACATGTGATTTTGTACCTATGCTTCCCAAAGCTTTTCATCAATGGGGTTTCCTCAGCACATATCTGGGACTGTCAGGCATCTAATTGATGGAGATTAATCATTATGAATAGTCAACAACTCCACTGTCATCTACCAGGATGACAAAAGCCGAGCATAATGGATATTGAATTATACTGACCCAGTGATTCTTATTCATCTGGGTTTGCATATTTCTCTTCACAGAAACAATGCAACAAGGCATCTCTTTGAGAAACTCGACCAGGAGACTCTGATGGCCATCAATGAGCTTTACCGCTTAACTGATAATCCCAACAACAGTTATGTGAAAGCTCTTCACCAGATTGTTGTAAACAACCAAGATAATATCCGGTTCCCAAACATTCCATTGCTGTGGATTGGCTTGGTTACCCAAGAGTACAGCATTGTATCTGACCTCATCACCAAGAAATGGCACAGGATCGATGGCACAGTGAAAATCCAGTCCTTTGAGAGCATCAACACGCAAGACCGAACCAATCTGGTCGGCTTCCAACTGGTGAGTTCCACTTCCAGTCTCCCAGCTTCTTTTGGCTCAAAAATAACCTGGGAAGTGGAGGGGGCTGTGAAGCAAAGCTCCATGAAGGGATCAGAGTGGCCCAAATAACCAGAGAAAACAGTTGGTACTGACCACAGTGAGCAGGCTGATTCTGACAAGAACACGAGATCAAAATCTGACCAGAATGAGAGAGTGGATTAGAACTGACTAGAATTAGTGGACTGGCACTGACTAGATCAAGCAAACTGCCACTGACCAGAGTGAGTTGATTGGCACTGACCAGACTAAATAGAAGGCACTAAATGGAGTGAGTAGATTGGCATTGAACAGCATGAGTGGACTGCTGCTCACCGGAGCAGGTGGGCTAGTATATACTGGACTGGGCAGAATGGTGATAATCAGAATGATTGGCCTGGCACTGACTGGAATGAATGGACTGGCTGTAATTGTTTTAAGGGAGTTGTTAAAGTGAGTGACCTAATGGTAACAGGAGTGATTGAACTGGCACTGACCAGAGCAAATGGCCTGGCACTGACTGAGGTAAGTGGATGGACATTCACTAGGGTGAATTGGCTGGCAGGGATTGGAGTCAGTGAACTAGCTCTGAATGGAGCAAGTGGAGTGGCACTGTTTCGACTAAATGGACTGGCACTGACTGGTCTGGGTGAACTGGAACTTATTGGAATTAATGGACTGGTGCTGACCAGAGTGAGTAAACTAGCACTGATGAGAGTGAATAGACTGATGCTGACAGGAACAGGCAAACAAGCACTGCCTAGACAGAATGGGTCTGGTGCTGACTATAACAAGTTCACTGGCACTGACCAGAATAAATGGACTTGTATTAGCCAAAATAAGTGGGCTGGCACTGATTGGAGGGAGTGGATTGGCACTAGTAGGAGCGTGTGGACTGGCACTGACCAGAGCATGTGGACTGGTACCGATTCTATCAAGAGGTCTGGCGTTGGCCTATTGAGCTGGCAATGAACAGAGCGAATGGCAATGACCTTGTGCTTTCGTAACTGCTGCCAGTCTTAGTGATAACATTTTTCTTCTTCCCTCACCATGGTGACAGTGTGACAATGACAATAATGAAAACTCTACTTGCATCATCTACACATTCAACTCAGGCATAACTGCCATTCAGGAATGGTACCGACTACACTACCTCAATATCATGGCACAGGTGCCCCATCAGAAGAAACTACAGATGGGTTATTCTGCTGATGACCTCATATTCAGCTGTCTGTTCGATGGACTACCATGTGATTCAAGGTTAATATATTGAGATTTATGTAACTGCATTTTTAAAATTATTAAGCCTTAGAAAAGTGGACAGCACTCTAGCCTCTGATTGTGGTCATGAGTTCAAGGCCCTCTCCAAGCTAACACCCGACGCAACACTGCCAAAAAGGTAGTGCTGTGGAAGATTTGCACTGTGAGAGGAGCAATAGTGAGAGTGCACTGCACTGTGGGAGGGGCAATATTGAGGGAACGCTGCACTGAAGGACTGTATTGAGTGCACACAACAGAGGCACAGTAATGAGAAGATGTTAAATTATCAACGTGGTGGTGCTGAGGGAGTGCTGCACTGTTAGAAGACCAGAACTGAGGGAGCACTGCTCTTTGGGAGGATAGTAATGACAGAGTGCTGCACAGTTGGAAGGGAACTGCTATGGGAGCCTGCACTGTGGGAAAGGGAGCACAGCACTATTAGTGAGACAGTAATGAGGTGCTGCAGGTGCTATAAGAGTGGCATCACTGAGGCAGTGCTTCAGGGTTAGAGAGATGCTACTGAAGGAGTTCTGCACTGTCAGTGGAGCAGTACTGAGTGAGTGCAGCAATATTAGAGGGGTGGTAATGATGAAGTGCTGCAATCAGAAGAACAGTAATGACAGACACTCTGAAGCCAAACACATGCTTGCTAAGTGGTAGCACTTGTCCTTTCTTTCCAATGACTGCACTGCCTTGCCTGCATGGGTTTTCCTGTCCAGTTATTAAGATTCGTGACTCTGTCTCTCCTCAATGCAGGAACTTCAGCCTAATGCACCATCCTTTGCATGGAAATTGCTTCACCTTCAATGGTGGAGAGAACGGCAGCATTCTCCGGACCATCATTGGTGGCAGTGAAAATGGTAAAACAAACAGGGTTAAAAAATATTTACCTCCAGCAGAGGCAATGTTAAAAGTTAAAGAGAAAACTGAATTTCTTATGAGTTTTATTTAACTCAGGTAGTGCAATATAGTCTGGCCCCCAGGTTGGGCCTATCCTTTACTCTGTCCCCTCTAGGTGGCTTGAAGTGAGGTGTCTTGGTAAACTGTTGATCTGCCACTATTATGGTGTGATACAATTATTAAGTCCCACAACACAAGGATGAGAAATGGATCACATAGTACGTGAGGAATTCAATGAATTTTTATTACAGCTCCTGATATTTACATACACACACTACAATCACAGGTACTCATATGTCTCAACTCAAGCTCAGCAATTCAGATGTACTGTAGCACACACTTCCCTCAGCCTATAATGCTGCAAGAGGACACAGCTCAGTAAGATGGAAACAGATCCTTTACTCTGGCCCTTGAGAGCAGCCAATCCTTTAAAAGGGGTGCAGCCTATACATTGGTCCCAGGATGTGGTTTTTACTCTGAGTGCCTGGGTGTGGCCTACACCTACACTCACCCTTGGATACAGTCTTTATTCTGGGCCCCCAGATGCAGCCTACGCTTTATTCTGGTCCCCTCTCGTTATAGTCCAGTACCAGCTAACAACGCAGAGTAAAGCTTAACTCTGGCTCCTTCACAACTTGAATCATTCAATTACTGTATGGATTAACTCACTGAAACTATCAAGAAAGCAAATCTTATATCATATATTTTGCATCATTTTTCTCTTTATTTTTCTTCCTTCTCCTCCAAAAATTTCAATTTGTTTCCTCAGTTTTGCTAATGATTATAACCACAAAGTAGATGACCTTCAAGACAGACTTAAGCTTGCATGTAAAATCTGACCGATATCCATCATAAACTCTGACTGATAACCATCTCAAACTCTGACTGATAACCATCTCAACCATATGCAGTCTTATTCGCTCCTATACCCATTATCCTCTTATCAACAGTTTTCAACTTTACATTAAACATACTGTCACACTCGATAGATGCATGATTGCACTCAGGAACTAAAATTACACACCTGGGAGCACAGAAGGTGATTATTTGGCCCATTGTGCCTGTGATGGATGGCTCTTTGAAATAACTCAAACCAGCTTCCCCATTTCCTTTTCTTTCCCAAGCATTTATTCAATTTGCTTTCAAACGTTCTTATAAATTCTGCTTCCCTCAAATGTTTAAGGTTGAGTATTCCATATCCTCTGTTTAAGACATTCCTTCAACCTCTCCTTTTATTCTTAAAATGTTTATCCTCTAGTTACCAAATTTTCTGGGGGACTAGGGAGTCAGCCATGGCTCAGTAGGTATGTCTGTTGTTCCCTGTGTTTGATGTGTTCAGGCACCCCCTGATTTGAGAACATAATCCTGACAATCCAGAACAGTATTGAGGGAGTGCTATACTGCTGGAGGCGCTGTCTTTCAGATGAAATGTTAAACCAAATTCCTAACTGCCCTCTCAAATGGATGTACAAGACCCCTGCATGGCACAAATCAAAGAAAAGCAATGGAGGTTCTTCCTGGTGTCCTTGTCAATAAATATTCCTCATTCAATATCAACAAAACAAATGATCCAGTCATTGCTGCTGTGACAACTTGCTATAAACAAATTGGCCGCTACATTTCCTATAGTGTATAACAGTCACAATAGCTCATTGCTTATAAAGCAATTTGGGATCGTAGAATCCCTACGGTGCATGAAGAGGCCATTCGGCCCATTGAGTCTGCACCCTCCACAGAGTATACCACCCAGACCTAGCCCATCCATGCAACCCCACATGGGTTTTATTTTAACCAGGTCTAACACATCTAACCTGCACATCTGGGGAATTTTTTAGCATGGCCAATCCACCTAACCTGCACATCTTTGGACTGTGGGAGGAAACAGGAGCACCCGGAGGAAACCCACTCAGACATGAGGAGAACATGCAAAAACGCTACACAGGCAGTCACCCAAGGCATTGGATGTCCTCAAGTCATAAAATGTGCTGCGTAAACACATGTCTTTCTTTCCTCTCTCCCAGGCCTGAAGATGATTTTGCATTTGGATGAAAATGAGTATAATCCATATCTGGTCACCTCAATGGGAGCGAAAATTGTCATTCACGATCAGAATGAACAGCCCTTCGTGGAAGACATGGGAATTGAAGTACAGACAGCAACTGAAACAGCCATGGGCCTCGAAATGGTAAAGCAACAAATTGGAGCTTTGTCCAGGAGGGTTAGGACATAGGGAAATTAAATATCATGCAACAGCTGATAATCACAAACAGATCAGCCATGATCATATTGAATGACAGAGCAGACTTGAAGGGCTCAATGATCTACCTCAGCTCCAATTGCATATGTCTGTATTTCCACATTGACGGGTGTCTCAGTAAATCTCATGGTGCTACAAAGTCAGGGCTGTTTTATTCAGGAGAAAAAAATGGGAGATTTTGAGGTTAATAAGAACAGAAAATGCTGGAGTAACTCAGAAGTCCTGCAGGACCTGTGGACAGATGAACAGAGTTAAAACTGTGAGCCCAATACAACTCTTCATCAGAGTTCAAAGTTTGAGTTTATCTGACAAAAGATCCTTAAAGAAATGGATAAAACTGTTGCTGCAATTTTAAATGTTGTATATTAGGATTAAAATGAGAGAGAGAGAGACAGGACTTTATGGATTGCTATGGAGTGTTAATTGTACATTAATTGTGTTTGATTGTCAGTGATGGGCAGTAACAATGGTTTCATTTGAGCATATATTTAAAAGAACATTCACTTCATAGGGGCATGGAAACTGAAGGTGGCTGAGTTAGGAGGTGTATGTTTGTAATGTTTAAATCTGAAATTAAATTGCTTCCAGTAATATCTTTTTACCAAATAGCTTTCCAGAATATAACACAGAAATGCAGCTAGTATAAATGGACTGAGTGGATAATTTAATGTGTTTTTGGATGGAGAGAAAGAAGAGTTCAGAGAATTGGTGGGAAAGTGAATATATTTGTTTGTTTAACTGGTTCAGTTTTTTGATGGAATAACAGAGAGGGTTAGTGAGGTTTATATGGTTGATGTGGCGTACAAATTCCAGCTGACTTTTGATAAAATGTCACAAAGCAGGCTTGGCAGCAAAGTACATACCCATGAACTAAAGGGGATAGCGGCAACATAGATACTGATTTGGTTGAGGGACAGGAAACAGAGTAGTGATGAAAGCTTGTTTATCAGACTGATGGAAGGTACTTGTGGAGTTTCCTATCTGTCAGTATTAGGACCACTACTTATTTTGAAATGTTTGATTGACCTGTGCAGAGCACAGTTTCAAAATTTGCAGATGGCCCAAAAAATTAGGAACATTGTGGGGTATAAACAGATTTTAAGAGGACATAGACTGGCTGGTAGAATGGTTGGACACATAACAATAAAATTTAATGCAGAAGAGTTTGAAGCAATATGTTTTGGTAATAAGAATGAGAAGAAGCAAAATAAAATTTAACTCATAGATTTCACGACTTACATTACCCTCTGTTACAATCACATCACTGCTGCGTGAATTCTCTTCTGTGATGCTCATTTTAACACTTGTAGGGCCTGATGTTCCTGGTTTATGGTTGTGCATCTCCTTTATGTGATTGAAGTTCGGATTTCTAAATAAAGACACAGAGTGTAAACGAAAGTAAGCTAAGGTGAACCTCTATAAAACACTGGTTCAACCTAAGTTGAGGAGCTGGATCCAACCTACAGACATTGAGCTACATCAAGAAAGGGAAAATTTAGCTAGACACTTGGTCCAGGAGGCAGTCACACTTCCTGAATTAGATCATTCAGTTTTGGTCTATGATCAGGGACAGGAGGGTGTGACTGTAGATAAGCTAAGTATAAGGTGCCAAGGGTTTGGATTTGAGGGCCCTCAGCTCCTGCAGTTGTTTAACAGTTACAAGGTTCTTGTAAGCTGTGTGCATGAGAGTGGGGACTGCACAGAGGATGAGCAAACTGATCGCGTTACTGTGGTACAGGGAACAATTCAAGTGGAAGGAGAAAATAGGACCATAGTCATGGTAGGGGACAGTATGATTAAGAAGATGGATACAGTTCTCTGCAGCCTTGACCATGTGGCCTGAAGACTGATGCCAGGATTAAGGACATTTGCTCTGGGTTGGAGACAAACTTGGAGTAGGAGGGAACAGATCTACTCGTCTTCAGATTTGTAATAATGACATTGACAGTGGCTGGGGCAGCATGGTGGCTCAGTGGTTAGCACTGCTGCCTCATAGCACCAGGGACCTGGGTTCGATTCCACCTTCAGGCAACTGTCTGTGTGGAGTTTGTACATTCTCCCTGTGTCTGTGTGGGTTTCCTCCAGTTTCCTCCCACTGTCCAAAGATGCGCAGGTTAGGTGGATTGGCCATGCTAAATTGCCCATTGTGTCCAGGGATATGCAGGCTAGGTGGATTAGCCATGGGGAATGCAAGATTACAGGGATAGGGTAAGGGCTGGGTCTGGGATGCTCGTGGGAGGATCGGTGTGGACTCGATGGGCCAAATGGCCTGCTTCCGCACTCTGTTCTATTCTATGATAGGACTGAAAAAGAAGCTCTACTGAAAGAGTTTGAACAGTAAGGAGCTAAATTAGGAAGCAGAAACTCCAAGGTCATAATCTGGATTAATACCTGACCTACAGTCAAACTGGCATAGTGCAAATAAAGTCAGAGTTAAATTCATGGCTGGTGTGGGTGGAATGGGTTTCAGTTCATGGGCACTGGCACCAGTACTGGTGTAGAAGGGAGCCCTCCAATGGGACGCTTTTCCCTTTAACCACACTGGGATCAAATAACTAGGGCTGTAGAAAGGGGTTCAATGTAATTAGAGGGGGAAGGGTTTGGGAGAAGGGAAAAGTAGGCTTACAAAGCAAAATGATAGGGTAGCTATTGGGATCACCATAGCCAGAATGGGATTGCAAAGGACAGAGAGTACAAATATAGAAAAACAGCAAATGGGGTCAAAGGGGGAAAAAATGGTAAAAAGACAAAAAGAATGGCTCTTGAATGTAAGTAGCATTCGGAACAAAATAAATGAATTGACTGCATAGATAGAGTTGATGAGTGTGATCCTATTGCCATTATAGAGACATAGTTGCAATGAGACAAAAGCTGAAAACTAAACATTCAGGGGTATGTGACTTTTCAACGTGACCTTATTGAAATGTTCAAGATCCTTATGGGTTTGACGGGGTAGATAGTGAGAGGTAGTTTCCTTTGTGGAAGAGTCTAAGAGCAGAGGGCATAATCTAAGAGTAAGTGGACACCCAATTATGACTGAGATAAGGAAGAATTTCTTCTCTCAGAAAACAGTGAATCTGTGGAATTTTTCACTGCAGATGGCTGGGGAAGCTATGTTGTTAATTTAAAGCTGAGACAGACAGATTTTTAAACAGTAAAGGAATAAAGGTTTATGGGGAAAAGATAAAAGTGGAGTTGAGGATTATCAAATCAGACATGATCTCATTAAATGGTGGTCAGACTAGATGGGCTAAATGGTCAACTTCTCTTCCTATGTTTTATGGTGTAACCTCACTGAAATATTCAATTCTGGACACCATACTTTTATAAAATGTGGAAGTATTAAAGACATTGCAGGCAAGATTTACAAGAATGGTCTGAAGGTAGAGGATATGCATTTATAAGATCTACTCAAGAAGCTGGACCTACTCTCCTTAGAGATTGGGAGGAGATTTCATAGAGGTGTTCCCATTGATGGAAGGGTCGAGAACCAGAGGATAAAGAACCAGAAGAACAAAGAACATGAGGAAAACAGTTTTCACATACAAGTAATTAGCCCCTAACATAAGATTATGGGGATACAGATTCGATTGTGGTTTATCGTGAGATATTGGGTAAGTATCTGAAAATAAATGAAATTGTAGGGCTGTGGGAAGAAAGCAGATGCGTAGGAGTAGTTAATTTCTCTGGCAGAGAAGCAAGATGGATACAACAGGCTGAATGGCCTCCATCTGTGCTGTAACCATTTCATGTTAAGTGATATGATTAATTCAGTTGATGTACAGAGGCTGGCCACATTGTACTAAGTGATAATGGTTTTGTTGGCTGTAATTTACCTCTTTCTGAAGTTTCTTGGAAGTCCACTGTTTTCCAAACAGTCATGTTTTGCTGATTTTTTCAGACTGTATTGAAGAGGCTGAGCAGTCCATATAATGACTGTACAGTAGACGGAGCTGACGTTCCAGTGACAAACCTTTACAACAAGACCTATTCATTGCAGGTAAGGCTCCAACTCACATGCAGGGAAGAGACCATGGTCAGGAAGGTGACAGCTATAACCAATTATACCACAACGGGGTCCAGAACACAATTCAGATAGTAATAGAGAGGAAGACACATCAATGCACTGTACATTTTCATAACCTTCAAGAACACCAAGAATATAAGAACCTTGACTTTCTTCAAGGTCTTCGGGGAGAAGAAGAACTTGCTTCAGCTAAAATTCTTCATGGCGGAGCCACTGTTTATTAAATCAAAAAAATGGATGGTGATAGTGTACCTCTACAACACCCATCTTGCCATCTTGGAAGTGTGTATGTTCCAAACTACATCTCTGCTCTTAGTATTCTAGTCCTCTCAAAATGAATGCCAACATTGCATTTGCCTTCCCTGCTGCCACTGAACCTGCATGTTAATGTTAAGAGAATCCTGAACTAGAATTCCTAAGTCCCTTTGTGATTCAGGTGTCTGAAGTCTTCCCCAGTTTAGAAAACAGACGACATTTCAATTCTTCAAATAAAGTACATAACTTCACACTTTCCCACACTGTATTCCATCTGCCACTTCCTTGCCCACTGTCTTATCCTGTCCAAGTCCTTCTGCAGCCTCTCCACTTCCTCAACACTTCCTGTCCCTCCATTTATCTTTGTTCACATCGCAGACTACCAGCAGCAAGCCATACCCTTACAACACAGATGTCAAGTACTAGTACTTTATAGATGAGGAAAGAGAAGGGTGACTCCTACAGAGGAGGAACAACACCATACAGAGCTGGAGGAGACATCAAGGCACAAATCATTGTGGACAGCGTACACTAATTACTAAGCAAAGCAAAGAGACAAGCACATCTCTGCTCTGGGAAGCTGGGAGCAGTGAAGTTCTCAGCTCAGGGAAGCAGAGAGCAGCAATGCCCTCAAAGGGGAACTGATGTAGATGGGGACACTCCAATTGGGAATAATCTAAACTTTGCATGGATCCAGCAATGACACCTGGCTGGACAAATAGGGTAGGACCAAGATGGCTTCCTCAACCTACAAAAAATGAAATAATTTATGACCACTCTAGGAGTACAAAAGATGACTGCAACTGCAAAAGGCAAATGGTAATAGTCAGTGACACTTTTAAAAATGGGTATTCAGATGACTTCAATTAACATGCGCAGCATTATGTTTATTAGGCAATGTGTTTCAACCTTGAAATGCCTGGCCAAGACTAAAGCTGACCAGCTGTTTCTGCAGGAGCGTGCAATACAATACCTCAGCTCCTACAGCCAGTGGTCACAATGGTGGTCCAAGTCACCATCAATCTAGTCTGGAGGAAATGGCATGTACCTCTCATCTATGTATTCTGCTGTGGAGAGACAAAATTCATCCTCTCCAGATTTAAGGAGAAGATGGGTAGGTGCCTCTTCATAACAGATGCAATGTACTGAAACCCTGTAATCCAGTTTCTAACGTGTATTTCCCAGCTCAAAATAGCAAGCAGCTGGACATCCTTCAGCAGCTCCAATCGTTGCTGGTAATGTCCAGTCTGGTCGTTGTGGAAAGTGACTTCAACTGCATCATCATTGTTATGATTGGATGATCCAGCAGGGCCAACAGTACATTGGACACCAGGTCCAGACAACTTATGGAAACAATGTAAAAAAAAGCAACAAATTGCAGGTCTTCAGCAGCCTGCAAATGTGCTGTAGTACAGATAGACCTGGTCAAGGTCAGATATGTGCCTGGTCCAAGATAGTATTACCTGGTTGTGTCCTGTGCATTAATGCTCTGGTCCACCAATACCAAACCAATGTTCTTCTCTGACTGCTGCCTCCTACTGGCTGATTGCCATGTACAGGAAGACTAGGCATTGGCAGGGGGACATGGAAACTGAATGGGAGTCTGCTGACCCAAGAAAACATCAAAGAACTTAAAGAGGGTTTCAAAGTTTAGAGACCCATGAAACCCCCACCCCTTTGAATCTCAGGACATTGGTGGGATGCAGTCAAGGTGTTCAGAAAATGATAGAGGAACAGAGGGAAATCACAAAATAACAAAATTGTTATGGCATAGAAAGAAACTATTAGACGTCAACTCCAGAAAATCATGCAAAATATGCTCCAGATGAAGTCAATGAGAGTCAATGTTAAGGAGAATCTCCAAGAAACAAACAGTCAGCCAGACCCGTTGTTTGATTCAGAGGATTTTAAAATCATCTTTCAGTCCAAAGTCTGCTCCAAGGTACAGGCTAAGACAAGTTTGTATTTCTTCTTCCAGAAGGTACACAAAGAGAGCTCCATGATTAGCATCCTGAAGGAAGAAGATGGCTTGATAATGTCATCACTGTCTGACATTTTGAGGATTCCATTTGATGCTGGGCTGTATGACATAAATCTCAGACAGCACATTCTCCCAGTTATTCCTGTCCTTGATCCCAAAGGTCTCGGATTGCAGTTTGTGGGAGAATCTGGACAAATTGCTAACTCTGGAAGAGCTGAGCAAGACCCTGGAGTCTTTTGATTAGACAAAAAGTCACAGAAATGATGACTTACTGGCTGAGCTGTATTCATTTCTGCTAGACTTGACTGGCCAAGACATACTGGCTGGCAGCGTGTCTGAATCCATGAAGGAAGGCATCATCCCTCTCATTTACCAACAGAGGGAGGAAATTAGCAGCACAGCAAATCACTTTGACAGCTGCTGTGATAGGGTATCTATGTATGGTAAGGGTAAGGGTGCTACTTTGTTGGGGAGATATGATGTCAGGGTGCCAGGTAGGTGAATGAGTGCTTACAGTAGGTCAGAGATTGAGGGCATATCAGGTCCAGCAGCAGTAATAGTGGTTGCTAATGCATTTGATGGGTGAAACAGGGGTATCAGATCTGAGAGGTGTCAAAGGCAGGAGGGTGGATGGGTCTTTGATCCAGGGCAGATCAGACCAGCAAAGGGGCGAGAAATAGGGTGAGAACTGTTGATGTCAGAGGATTGTCAGATCCAGCCGGTGTGGAATGGTGAGTTATGTTGGGCCGGATCCAAGTGGAAGACCTAGTTGGGCCTGGGGTCTGCCATTGGGGTTGGGAGGGAAGAAGGTGTTCATTCTGGGTGGGTGCTCAGGGCATTGGGGAGGTCGGAGCACATCCAGGGAGGGAATCAAGCCAGTGGTAGAGGGGCGCATTGGTTTGGTTCAGGGGTTTGTCAGGTCCTGGGGAGGGGGTTGTTGATGTTACGCCAAGGTCCAGTTAAGTGATGGGTGTTGAAGCCACCAGTGGGGGCAAAATCATCAGTTTTGTAGTGGTAGGCCAGCAATGGGAGAGGGGGAACAGGGGAGTCTCCGGTCCAGCAGGGCGGGGCTGGGTTATCATGGGGGGATAGTTGTCTATCGTCTGGAAGATGTAAGGCATGGGATGGGGGCGACGATGTAGACGGCGGGGGGCATCAGTGATGAGTCAGGGTTCAGCTTAATAGTTACCTAGGAGTTACAGTAGGTTTTTAATCTTTTTCTGGTTAAGTATTAAAGCTTAAGAGAGTCATAACTCCAAATTCTATGAATTTAGTTTCATGGAGGGTACTAGACGTTGGGAAATTGACCATCAGAAAGTTCAAATTTGCAGACTACTTCCATGAAGTCAGCTACATCTGCAATTCCATATGGTCACAAAGTGTAATTCTAGTCTATGCTGCTCCAATATCAATTTGGCCATTAAAGTATCTGTGTTATTCTCTACAGAGAAGTTTATATCTACTGCATTTTCTGTAATCCCCAATTTGAAATGTTTTAGGCCTCGGGATGGAAACCTGACCTAGTATGTACTTTGTAAATATCAAGCCTATTACAAATGTATCGATGATATGGAGGTGCCAGTGTTGGACTGGGTTGGATAAGATCAGAAGTCACAGGACACCAGGTTATAGTCCAACAGGTTTATTTGAAATCACAAGCTTTCGGAGCACTGCTTCCTCACCTGACAAAGGAGCAAAGCTCCAAAAGTTTGTGATTTCAAATAAATCTGTTGGACTATAATCTAGTGTCCTGTGACTTCTGATAAATGTATCGAGTGAAACATGCTGTACGGTAACAAGTTTCTTGAAAATATGTAATGTTCAAATTAAAATGTTTTGTAATGTATTTTTTGCCAATCTTATAATTTTTGGAGAACAAAAGGCAAACCAAATCTAAAGGTCAAGGATAAAGACAGCAATTTAGCATATGGCTAATTTTCTGATTTCTACACAGATGTGCCTGCACTCATGCTTTCAGATGGAGATGGTTCGTAGCTGTGGCTGTGGTCACTATGAGAAGCCATTACCAGTGGAAGCAGAGTATTGTGATCATAAAAAGTACCTAGGTTGGAGTGAGTTCACACTTTCCTGGTCTCTAGATATTTTCACTTGTGTAGAATTTTATCACAGCCAAAGATGATCTTATAGAGAATTCCTTTGAAATAATTTAGCCTCCATGTATTTAGATATGGTGGCCATTCTGAGGATAACGAGATCCACACAAACAGACACATATTGGATTGCTGGTTAGTCCCTTTTGAAAAATAATGAATAGGGGGAGAATGTACAGCAGGATGTTTGGTTAATAGTGGAGAGAAAGATCTGTTTGCAGTATTTAAAATTGTTACAGGATTTGATTGGAGATTTTGTAAAACGTAATGATTGATGTTGAAGCTGCAATCATCTCTAGCCAATCTGATGATGTTACGCAGCCGTAAGATGAAGAAGAAACAATCTAGCATTATGTTCTGATGGAGACAGACACATCATCTCCTAATACCCTTTGTAATTATACCTAACTACTCTATGTACATTGTACATATTGCTATAATACAATAAGCTCCATCTTGTTGTTCCTCTTCATGTTATGTCTCAATAATGGTTTATACCGTTCTAATGCTAATTAGGTATATCTTACACTTAGGGTAGAAAGAAGGATTCTTTGGCAATGAGTAGTCTTCGCAGGAGCTAGGGTCCATCATCACCACTGCAATGGCCTTTTGATATAATTTTGTCAAGTTTCTGTTTACCTTTTGACTGTTTGTTACAGTGCCCCATCAGTAGCTAACTAAGCTACTAAGGTTTATTTACTTCGAAAGAAAGATTTTTCTGCAAATGATGGGCGCCACAGGGGCTGGGTTCTGTTATCATCCCATAACATGACATTTTAAGTTAAATTTGAGAAGTTTCCTTAGAAATTTTGATTTTCCCTTCGAGGCTAAATTGTTCATTTTTAAATAGTAGAAAGGAGATTAGTGGCAGCAGTCTGCCCCAGTCACAAGCCACCAGTGGCTGCTTTCGAAACATAACAATTGGAGAAGTTATTTCATGTATGTGGGGGACAGGAGGAGGACTGGGGAGGGGGGCGGGGGAAGAGTCTGGAACTAGGGTTAATAATGTTAAAATTAAAGCTTGGCCATTCAGAATTGAAATAAGGAAGCATTTCTTCACACAGGAGCAATAAGAATCTGAAACTATACAAATTTAATTCTATGTTTACTGCCAGCCACATTATTGTCGTACATGTGCCCGTTTAATAAACTGTTTTTGTTTTCCTGCAGTTTTCTGCTATTACAGACTGCGCAGCCAGTTTATTCAGGAGCAGTTGGTTTGCCAGAAGACTTGTCGACCTGCCTGTCAGTAAGTTCCTGAGGCTGAAAACCTGACAATCTTTCCCCAACTCAGAAGATACAGAATTGCAAATATTCCCAACTGCAGTTACAACACTGCACCTCCTCAGCACTCATTACAAAGAAAAGTATCTCCCTCTCGATATTTCGATTAGCAGACTGCCTGAACGTACAGTAAAGAATTTTGTCTCTTTGCAACCATTGTCCAGTTCAACACTGTTTTTGTTTTGATATCTGGTTAGATGTTGCTTCTGCCAGTGTTTGGTTAAACTGAGCTTGCAGTTAGTGTCCAGATAAATTTATCTATTTTTCTTTTTATTAGATTCTGAGTCACTCATGTAATGCTTTGTGTGATCTTTCCACAGTTCCAAGGAATGGACAATGACTATGAGTGTTGCTCAGTGGCCTTCATCAGCATCTGAGGTGAGAGGTATCATCCTGGGAGACGTATCCATTCTCTGATAACTGGATTATTCATTTACAGTGGGATTATGTCAAATGAGAAATGAGTTTAAAAGAAAGCATTGTTGAGCAGTCAAGTTGAATATGTACTGGTAAAACAATCATTCGCACTCAAGCTAAACAAATACATATTCAATTGCCCACAATCTCTCTAGCATCCTGACTCTCTCAGACATTCAGATATACATATATACACATCAGAATTTATACAAACCTATAACAAAGATATACACAGACCCAGGGACACAAACAAACACACGTGAGACAAAGGAGAGAAATTCAGCTGGAGGTACTGAACTAACGCTTGGTTGAATATGATGATATTATCTTACTCCATTATCCTTCCTCCAATAGGAATGGACTCTTCGTCTTCTGAGCTGGGAAAAAGGACTCCATGGAAACAGAACTTTAAGAAAGTAAGCTCTGATTTGTTAACTTGTCCAATTTCCTGAGGGAGCTGCCTAGTACAGTACAAAATGAACCTTCCCTCAAAATCCTCATCCCAATCACATTCTTTCGTTCACACTTTCTCACTCACTCTCTCACACACAAACTCTGTTACTCAAACACACACGGTCAGACATTCACACTCTACTTCTCACACACACACGTTATTACTCACATACTCCCTTTCACACACACTAGCTATCCTAGACACACTATCACACAGATACACTCACATATGTCTACAAAATTAACAAAGTGATTGTAGTGTTCAGCAGAAACTCCTGACACCAAATGTTCAGCAAACGGATGGGAGGAATTGTGTCCATTGGGATTGTGTGCAATGGGAGTGAATGGGAAGTGATTTCCTTTCTCGACAGTAATGACTGCACTTCAAGAAGTCATTCGTTGCCTTTAAATAAATTAGGGTGCCCTGGGGTTGTGAAAGGCACCATGTACAACATACCTTGACATTCGAACACATTGTAATCAATAAATCACCCTCTATCAATATCCTTGGGGCTTACCATTGACCAGAAACTGAAATGGACCAACTTGTTTAATACTGCAGTTACAAGAACAGGTCAGAAGTTAGGAATTTTACAGTGAGTAACTCAGTTCCTGTCTCCCCAGTGTTTGTCCACCAACTATTAGGTACAAGTCAGGAGCGTGATGGAATGCTTTCCTCACTTGCCTGGATGGATGCAGGTCCAACAACACTCAAGAAGCTCAACTCTATTCAAAACAAAACAGCCCTGTGGATTGGTACTCATCCAACACCATCAACATTCACTCCCTTCACCACTGATGAACTGTGGAGGTGGTGTGCACTATCTACAAAATGCACTGCAACAACTCACCCAGTTTCCTTTGTCAGCACTTTCCAAACATGAAACCTCTACCACTTAGAAGTACAAAGGCAGAAAATATTTGGGAATCTACAAGTTTCCTTCTGAGTCACACACTGACCTGATATGGAAATATATCACCATTCCTTCACTTCACTATGTCAAAATTCTGCAACATCCTAAATAAAAACCGAAAGAACTGCAGATGCAGTTAACTGAGTTCTAATGAAGGATCACCGGACCTGAAACATTAACTCTGATTTTTTCTTCACAGATGCTGCCAGACCTGCTGAGCTTTTCCAGAAACTTCTGTTTTTGTTCTGCGCCATCCTCCCTAATAGCACTGTGGATGTCCCTGTATGACATGGATTGCAGTGGTTCAGAAAGGCAGCTCAAGGGCAGTTCAGGTTGGCAACAAATGCTGGCCGAGCCTGTGACACCCACATTCCATGGAAAAAAAAATAAAAATAAAAATAAAAAATAAAAAATAAAAATAAAAAAGTCTTTCTTCTCTGACTGGAAATCCATACAATGAGAGTAAGGGTGAAGGATTTAGCATATTTCTCACCTTTATGTCTGTGTCCAAAATGCCTGTATATAACAGACAGCACAGATTGTACTGAGAAGTCATGATCTTATCCTTCTTTGACAGGAATGAGTTGGCCAATCTGGGCATCTTTTACAAAGATCTCAATCAGAGGAACATCTCAGAAATAGCTGCAAATAATGTAAGTATTGAAATACACACACTGGAATCCGTAATGGTCTGTAAAGCTTATTGTGACTTCCTGAGCCGAATGGAGCAGGAAGATCTCAGGTTTGCTCATCATTCTGTGCTGACCTAAACAGACAACAGCAGGGGCACAGAACAGTGCCAATGACTAGTGATTAGAAAATTGGTAAGAGTTCCCATCCCAGTGTTGCAGGCACCTCAAAACAGTAAGTTGTATGTCACAGAGTCATAGAATCAAACAGCATGAAAACAGCCCACTAGTCCATGCCAACCATGTGCCCAAACAAAACTAGTCCCACTTGCCTACATTTGGCCCATATCCCTCCAAACCTTTCCTATTCATGTACTTATCCAAATCTCTTTTAAATGTTGTAACTGCTCCTGCATCCACACTTCCTCTGGCAGTTCATTCCACATGTGTACCTCTCTCTGTGTAAAAATGTTGCATCTCATGTCCTTTTTAAATCTTTCTCCTCTCACCTTAAATATCTGTCCCCTAGTTTTGAACTCCCCCACCCTAGGAAAAAGACCTTTGCCATTAACATTATCTATGCCCCTCATGATTTTATAAACCTCAATAAAGTCACACCTCAACCTCCTAGGCTCCAGATATAAAGTCCCAGCCTATCCAGCCTCTCCTTATAACTCAAACCCTCCATTCTCAGCAACATCCTGGTAAATCTTTCCTGAACCCGCTCTAATTTCATAGTATTCTTCCTATATAAATTTCCAGTGCTGTCCACAGGCATGTCATCAAACAATATTTCACACTTAAATCACACTAAATGATATTAGGTGAAATGACCAAATGCATCTTTCATCAAAGAAGTGGTTTTAAGGTGCATCATAAAGGAGGTGAGGGAACTAGAGAGGCAGGATGGCTTAGGGAGGGAATTCCAGACTTTTGTATCTATGAGCTGATAATATGGCCACTAATGGTGGAGTGATTAAAGTCAGGATTGCAAAAAGCCAGAAATGGATGTGTAAAGAGATTTTGGAGAGTTGTAAGGCTTAAGGAATTTACAGAAGTAGGAGGAACAAAGCCACAGAGGGAAATAAGAGCATTGGTGAGAACTTTTAAATCGAGGCATTGCTGGACGAGAAATCAATGGTGAAACGTTATTGCACAAGGTTGGAGCTCACAGTATTGAGTGTATTGTACTAGAATAGATTGAGGATTGGTTAACATGTGGAAGACAGAAAATTAGAATAACAGGTCTTTTTCAAGTTGGAAAGATGCAACTGGATGAAGAACCTCAAGGATCAGTCCTACGGTCTCAATTATTTACTATCTATATCAATGGCTTGGAGGAGGGGACAGAATGTATCCCAATTTCATGATGGTTTAAAAATGGGTGGGAGGGCATGTTATAATGAGGACATATGGAAACTGAAAGGGGATACGGATTGGTTGAGTGAATGGGCAAAACTTGGCAGATAGAGTTAAATGTAGGAAAGCCTGAGGTCATGTACTTTGATAGGAGGAATTAAAATGTAAATATTATTTAAATGGAGAGATATTCCAAAAGACATCAGTGCTGAGGGATCTGGGTGTTCTTATGCATGAAACAGAAAAAGTTAGGATGCAAGTGCAGCAAGTAATTAAGATGGCGAATGGAATTTTGGCCTAATTTGGTAGGGGATTAGAGTTTAAAAACAGTGAAGTCTTGTTTCAAATGTATAGGGTGTTGGTGAGGCCACACCTGGGATGCTGTGTACAGGTTTAATCCCTGTATTTGAAAAAGGATGATTTGCATTCGGGACAGGTCAAAAAAGATTCACTAAGCTGATTTCTGGGATGAAAGGGTTGTCTTATCAAGAACAACTGAACTGTTTAGGCCTTTATTCATTAGAGTTTAGAAGAATGGGGGAGTAGTCTTATGAAAACAAATAAAATTCTGAGGGGACTTGACTTGAGAAGATGGTTTCGCTAGCGCGGAAATCTTGAACTAAGTGACATAGTTACAGAATAAGGGGAATTTCACTTAAAACTGAGATGCGACTGAATTTCTCCTTCCAGAAAGTAGACAATGTCTGGAATTCTGTACCCCAGACAGTTGTGAAGGCTAGATCATTGAAAATATTGAAAGAGGAGAGAAAATATTGGCAAGTTGAGGGCTATGAGGAGCTAGCATGAAAGATGACTCCAGGCCTGGAGTCCTTTTTAATGGTAGGGCAATTCTTTTGAGACCAAATGGCCCACTTATGCTCCTGCTTCTTACGTTCACACAAGTGTAAGGTAATAATCATCTCCCCTTGACATTCAATGGCATTATCACTGGTGAATTCCCCACTTTCAACAGCCTGGGGTCACCATTGACAGAACTGAACTTGTCCAGCCTTATAAATACTGTGGCTACAAAAGCAGTCAGAAGAACTGTGCAGCAAATAACTTACCTCCTGACTCCCAAAACCTGTCCATCATTTACAAGGGACAGTTCAGGAGTGTGATGGAATACTCCCCACTTGCTTCATTGGGTGAAGCTCTAACAACATTCAAAAAACTTGACACACCCATGAGTGGAACCACAAGAAATGGGTGAGATACTAAACAAATATTTTGCATCAGTGTTTACTGAAGAGAAGGATATGTAAGCTAGAGAACTTGGAGAAACAAACAGTTGTATCTTGAAAAATGTCCATATTACAGAAAAGAAGGTGCTGGATATCTTAAAATGCATAAAGGTGCATAAATCCCTGAGATCTCATGAGGTGTACCCTAGACCTTTGTGGGAAGCAAAGGAAGAGATTGCTGGGCCCCTTGCTGAGATACTTGCATCATTGATAGCCACAGGTGAGGTGCCAGAAAAATGGAAGTTAGCAAATGCGGTGCCACTACTTAAAAAATCTGGTAAGGAAAAGCCAAGGAACTATAGACCAGTGAGGCTGACATCAGTGGTGGGTAAGTTGTTGGAGGGGATTCTGAGGGAGAGGATTTACATGCATTTGGAAAAGCAAGAACTGATTAGGGATAGTAAATATGGCTTTGTGTGTAGGAAAGCGTGTCTCACTAACTTGAATGAGTTTTTTGAAAACGTGACAAAGAAGATTGATGAGGCAAGAGCAGTGGATGTTGTCTGTATGGACTTCAGCAAGGCGTTTGACAAGGTTCTGCATGGTAGGCTGGTTAGCAAAATTACATCACGTGGAATATGGGGACAACTAGCTATTTGGATGCAAAAATTGGCTCAAAGGTAGGAGACAGAGGATGGTAGTGGAGGGTTGCTTTTCGAACAGGAGGCTTGTGACCAATGGTGTGCTGCAAGGATCAGTGCTGGGTCCACTGCTTTTTATCATTTATATAAATGATTTGAATATGAATATAGCAGGTATGGTTAATAAGTTTGCAGACGACACTGAAATTGGTGATGTAGTGGACAGTGAAGAAAGCTACATCAAAGTACAAGGGGACCTCGATCAGATGGGCGAATGGGCTGAGGAGTGACTGGTGGAACAAAAACAAAGTTGCTGGAAAAGCTCAGCAGGTCTGGCAGCATCTACGAAGGAGAAAACAGAGTTAACGTTTCGGGTCCGGTGATTCCTTAGAACTGATGGTGGCTGGGAAAACGTAAGTTTATATGCAGAAAACAGGGAGGTGGGTGGGATAGGGAGTAAACGATAGGATAGAGCCCGAAGAGAGTGAGAGACAGTTGGACAGACAAAGGAGTTGCTAACGATCAGGCTGGAAAGGTGAGTAGTTGTTAATGGGGACTGTTAGTGACTAACAACAGGGGGTGTGTAATGGCAGGCTATGTGGAAACAAGGTATGGGGTGGGGGGCTGGGACATGGGAGAGTTTAGACCCTAAAATTATTGAACTCAATACTGGGTCCAGAGGGCTGTAGGGTCCCCAAGCAGAAAATGAGGTGTTATTCCTCCAGCTTGCGTTGGGCTTCACTGAAACACTGTAGCAAGCTAGAGACAGAGATGTTGGCCAGGGAGCAGGATGGTGCATTGAAGTGGGTAGTTCAGGGTTTTTTTTGCGAGCAGAACGTAGATGTTCTGCAAAGCGGTCGCCAAGTCTACGTGTCATTTCCCCAATGTAGAGGAGACCACACTGTGAGCAGCGAATGCAGTAGACCAGATTCTGGGAAGTCCAGGTGAAGTGTTGCTTCACCTGGAAGGTATGTTTGGGCCCTTGGATACTGGGAAGGGAGGAGATAAATGCGCAGGTGTTGCACCTTCGCTGGTTACAGGGGAAGGCACCATAGGGCTGTGGGGAGGTGTTGGGGGTGAAGGAAGTGTGGACCAGGGTGTCCCGGAGGGAACGGTCTTTATGGAAGGTGAACAAGGGAGGGGAGGGGAATATGTGTCGGGTGGTGGCATCTTGCTGGAGGTGTCAGAAATGGCGTCTGATGATCTTCTGGATGTGGATGCTAGTGGGATGGTAGGTGAGTATAAGGGGAACCCTATCGCTGTTGCGGGAGGGAAGAGAAGGGGTGAGGGCAGAAGTGCGGGAGATGGGTCGGACCTGGTTGAGGGCCCTGTCGACAACGGAGCTGGGGAATGCTCGGTTGAGGAAGAAGATGGACATTTCCGAGGCTCCCTTGTCAAAGTTGGCCTCATCTGAACATATGCGACGGAGATGAAGGAACTGAGAGAATTGGATGGAGTCTTTACAGGAAGTGGGGTGTGAGGATGTATAGTCCAGGTAGCTGTGGGAGTCAGTGGGTTTGTAATGGATATTAGTGGCCAGTCTATCCCCAGAAATGGACACAGAAATGTCGAGGAAGGGAAGGGAGGAGTCAGAGTTAGACCAGGTGAAAGTGAGGGCAGGGTGGAAATTGGAGGCGAAATTGATGAAGTTTTCCAATTCCAGACGAGAGAGGGAAGCAACACTGATGATATCATCAGGTGGACAACTGGAGTTTAATTTAGATAAATGTGAGGTGCTGCATTTTGGAAGGGCAAATCAGAGCACAACTTATACACTTAATGGTAAGGTTCTGGGGAGTGTTGCCAAACAAAGAGATCTTGGGGTGCAGGTTCATAGTTCCTTGAAAGTGGAGTCACAGTTAGACAGGATAGTGAAGATGGTGTTTGGTATGCTTGCCTTTATTGGTCAGTGCATTGAGTTTAAGAGTTGGGAGGTCATGTTGTGGCTGCACAGGACATTGGCTTGGCTACATTTAGAAAATTGTGTTCAATTTTAGTCTCCCAGCTATAGAAAGGATGCTGTGAAACTTGAAAGGGTTCAGAAAAGATTTACACGGATGTTGCCAGGGTTGGAGTGTTTGAGAGGCCGAATAAACTGGGGCTATTTTCCCTGGTGCATTGGAGGCTGAGGGGTGACCTTATGGAAGTTCATAAAATCATGTGGGGCAAGGATAGGGTAAATACACAAGGCCTTTTCCCCAGGGCGGGGGTGTCCAAAACTCGAGGGCATAGGTTTAAGGTGAGAAGGGAAAGATTTAAAAGGGACTTGAAGGGCATCTTTTTCATGCAGACGTTGGTGTGTGTATGGAATGAGCTGCCAGAGGAATTGGTAGGGACGGATACAATTACAACTTTTAAAATGTATCTGAATGGGTATATGAATAGGAAGGGGTTAGAGAGATATGAGCCAAATGCTGGCAAATGGGACCAGATTAATGTAGAATATCTGGTCAGCATGAATGAGTTGGACTGATGGGTCTGTTTCCATGCTGTACAACTCTATGACTCTATGGCCTTCCAGGATAAAGCAACTAATTTGTCTGCACCCCCCCCCCCCCCCCCCCGCCATCAGCCACCTGGAATATTCACTCTTTTCACCACTGGTGTACTGTTGAAGCAGTGAACAATCTACAAGATACACTGCCGAAACTTAGCAAGGTAACTTTGAAAGCAGCTTGCTAGCTTTTAACCTGTGCCACCAACAAGGACAAGGGCGGAAAATGCAAGGGAATGCCTGTAATTTCCCCTCCAAGCCACTCACCATCCTGATTTGGAATTAGATCACTGTTCCTGGGCCATTGTTGGATCAAAATCCTGGAGCTCCCTTCCTAACAGTACTGTGCATCTACGAACATCACACGGATTGCAGTGCTTCAAAACCGCACTTTCTTGAGAGCAATTAGGGATGGGAAACAGATGCTGGCCGAGTGAATCAAGTTCACAACCTGTCAAAAATTTTTTTTAAAAAGCCAGTGCAGTCCTCTGATTAAGCAATCCCCATCTGAAATTTGTCCCCTTCCCACTCCTGAGTCCAGGCTATTGTCATCATCTCTGCAGTTAATCTAGTATCTCTACTCTCTTATCGCAGATTGTCACCTTACTGTCGAACTTTGGAGGCCAGCTGGGTCTGTGGTTGAGCTGTTCTGTTGTTTGCATCATCGAGTTTGTAGAAGTGTTCTTCATCGATATGCTCATGATCATCGTGCGGAAAGTCATGCAGACTGTACACAAGTGGTGGCAGAACGAACAGGAGGAGATCCCTCCAACCGTCAGTAATACAACTCATGGATCTCCTGTCTACATAAGTGACGAAGACCCACCAACTTTTAACACTGCCCTGCAGCTGCCTCGAGCACATGTCCAAGACACACTTCCCCCAACTTACGAGACCTTGCGCATACACAGCAGTTTCAGCCCTGAGACCTCCACTATGGAGTCCTGCAAGCACTGACTGCAGCATTACAAAGGATTCTGAAAGCAGTACTGTATATACTTTTACTTAGCTGTAGAATGATACAGTACAGGAGGGGTGGGGAGCCAGCCAATGTAGGGTGAGCATAGGGAGAGGTGGGCCAATGTAGGGTGAGCTTAGGGAGAGGTGGGACAATGTAGGGTGAGCTTAGGGAGTGGTGAGCCAGTGTAGGGGGAGCACAGAGAGAGTTGAGCCAGTGTAAGGGAAGCACAGGGAGAATTGTGCCAGTGTAAGGGGAGTACAGGGAGAGGTGAACCAGTGCAGGGGGAGTATAGGGATACATGAGCAGGTGTAGTGTGAATGTGGGGAGAGTAAGCTAGTGCAAGGAAGGAACAAGCCTATAGAACACAATCATCAAAGCAGATAATTCCAGAAGTCCAGAAGTGAGCCTTACCTTTTACTTAGCTTTTATCTTTGTGATTCAATCAGTAGTAAAAGATGTTTCAAACTGTTTTCAATAACAAGCCACTGATTATCCAGCTAGAACCAGTTTAGTCCCCACAAAACAAGTTCTTCTGTGTTTGATTCTGACACGTAGCTAAGGGTGATGTGTGAAAAAAGTCTCTTCATGCAGCAAATGGTTTAGGTCTGGAATGCACCCCTCGGAAATGTGGTAAAAGCAGGTTCAATCGAGTCTTTTAAGAAGGCATGAAATAATTATTTGAATAGAAGCAACTTTCAAGGGTACACAAAAAGGGCTGGAGATTGGCACTAAGTCATAATGTTCATTTGGAAAGCCGGTGTAGAAACGATGGTCTGAATGGCCTCCTCTGTGCCATACAATTCTATGATCCTATAAAGTCATAGATTGTATATTGTTTTCCCATGACGCTACTGCAAACTGGCAACTAACAACTTTTGTAAAAATAAATATTTGATTTATAATCAAGAATGTGTCACTTCCATTCAGTATAGTAAAGCTCACATGTGTCTCAGTGTTAGCTCCTCTCCCAAAGAAGTGATTGATTCCCATCTTGCACATTGTCTCCAGTTGATTTTTTTTGGATCATTGGGCGAGTTTTTATTTTGTGCTCAGGAGAGTGAGGAATTCTTTGCGCAAGTTTTGCACTATGCCTCAGCATTGAGGTGTTCCATCCTATCCATCTCCATCCACAAACTCTGTATCCTCTGACAATAGACAGTTAAGAATTTCTGGCAAAGAATATCGAGCAGACCAGAAACACTGTCCATCAGTATCTTAGGGGTTATTCTCTTTAAAGCAGAGAGGCTTAAAGGGGTGATTTAATAGTGGGTTTCAAAATTGTGAGGGGTTTTGATGGATAAAGAAAAATCATTCCCACTAACAGGAGGAACACTATCTAGAATTTAACAAAATTGGCAAAAAAAAGGAGTTGAGATAAGGAAGTTTGTGCAGCAAGCTTTGATCTGGAATATGTTACTTGAATAGGTGATGGAAGCAGGTTTAATAGGAACCATCTAAAGAGAATTGGAAAATACCTCAAAAGGAAGAAAATGACAGAGGAATGGGGAAACAATAGGGACATAGTAATAATGGGATAGCTCTTTCAAAGAGTCAGCCAAAGATAGACATTTGGTCTCTTTCTATGCCACAAGATTCCGTGATAATGTAGAGAGAATTCGGCTTCAAGTCCAGAAAAGAAAATAGCCTCAGGCAATTCTGAGGTTATCAGATGTTTTACAAGTCTGTTTTGACCATTTTGATTTCCAGGTCCATTCTCAGTCACAACACATGCAGGAGAGGCTGTAACAGCAACTCCAGCTCATTCAGGACATGATTGTTTTGTGTAACTGTCAGATAGGTCGCTCTACATTCCTGGCTAATTAATTTCCAAATGAGAAAAGAAATGGTCTTCCCCCACCCCTCCGTATACTTTACCGCTCAGAGTCTCTCCCAATCCACACATACTTTAATGCCATCTCTTTTGACACACATTACCACTCAATACTCATCTGCCTCACACTCTAATCTTCAGTGCTCTCCTGCAGTACAGTACAGGGTAGTGTCCTTGGTCCAGCCATTTCTTCAAGTATCTTCTCTCACCACAGGTCAGAATTGATAATTTACTGATAATTGCACAGTGTTTGGCATCATTTGTGATTCCTCAAATACGCAGCAGTCTATGTCCAAATGCGGTAAGATGAGAGCAACATCCATTCAGAAGTGGAAAGTAACATTACTGCCACGGAAGTGCCAATAATTAGCATCTCCAACAACCGAGAATCTGACAACTCCCCTTAACATTCAATGGCATTACCATCACTCAATCCCTCACTGTCAACATTCTTGCTGCTACCAATAAGCAAAAACTCAATACTCCACAACAAACTGTCAACAATCTCCTACTCCATACACTTATCCCGCAAAATTCCTCAATTCCACACCAAATCCTCAATACTCCCCTATTCCATACTTTAACTCTCAATACTCCCCTACACCACATCCTTATCTCTCAAAATTCCTCAACACCACACTGAATCATCAATACTCCTCCACTCCACACCGAACCCTCAATATTCCCTATTCCACACTCTGTCAACACTCCCTCACTCGACACTGTAACTCTCAATATTCCCCTACTCCACACTGTAACCCTCAATACACCCCCACCCCATACTCTGACATTTGGAGACTCCCACCTCAACCTTCACATGTCAATACTGCCCTACTCCTAATTTACTGCTCAATACACCCACACTTCATACTGTAACCCTTGTTAGGCCAACCCTGAAAGACCCTGAAGAATATCAGAATCCTGAAGTATTTACAGGCTTTTCTTTAAATTGTAAAATATGTCTTTTTTTTAACAAAGGCAGAATATTTTAGAAAAAAAAAACTGCAGGTGCAAATTCAGTGACAGGCAAATTCCTGTGTGAAGTTGACCTGTAAAGTATCAGAGAATGACTTCAGAGAAAAGTAACGAGAATCAGATACCCCTCTGTCAGCCAAAAGCCATTTCTTGTAGGCACATCTTTTCTACTCTCCAGAAGCATATTAAAAAAGTGAATTGAAAACTGACTGCAACACTTGTCTGTATGTGTAACTGGCTGTGCATCCCAGTGTGTGAAGTGCTGCGAGGGTCACAGCTTTGACAGCAGCTGATAAAAACACAACTCCACTTCAGTTAAAGCAGAAGGAAAGTCTCTTTCACTCTCTGAATGCTGGAATTCAGTCACTGTGAAAAGGAATCAGAACAGCAGAACTTCCACCAAGCTACAAAACCAAGAACCTCAAAATGAACTGCTGAACTGCCAATCTCAATGGTAATGTCCACAAAATCATCAGATCTGCTCTTCACGAACAATTCAGAGAACGATCCGCACTTTTCTTACCTTTATCTTTTTGGAATTACCTTTTATTTGTGATCGGTGTTGCAGTGCTATTTCTTCTTGTACTTAGTAACTAATAAACCCATTCCTTTTGTTAATTGAAGGAAGCCTGGTTTTAATTAGCTCCTTTTAAAAAATTGGCTCATTGGGGTCTGGGAGAAAGGTATCCACAAGATAGAGATCCTTTTCAAATTAACTCTGTTATCACCAACCAAAGGAGTAGGTGAATAGTCAAGGAGAGCCAATTCATCCCTCCTTACCCTGGAGTTTAATGATTTTTGGACATCCCATGTGAAGCTACAACAGTTTGATGAATCTTGCCTAGGATATGGTCATACCACCCTCAATACCTCCCCATCACCCCCCATACCCCTGCACAGTCCACTTATATGTCAACACTGCTCCAATCGAACCTCAAACTCTCATACTACCTAATTCACAATCTGACCCTTAATACACTTCCGTTTTTCACTTACCCGCCAATAATTTCCCTCTTACCCCTCTGTGCTACCCCCTCCTCTCTTACCCCTCAATGCTACCCCACCCCAAACCCTAATCCTTAATACTTCCTCAGTCTAGACTTATCCCTCAGTACTCCTGCACTTTTCACTTACGCCCCATAATTGTTCCCCTTTTTTTAACCCCTCAATACTCCCCCAGCTCATATTCTAACTCTCAATACTCCATCATTCCAAATTCCAACAGTTAATACTTCCTCAGTCTACACATCATTACTACCACACACCTCAGTTTTTTACTGTCAAATCCAGATCCCTGATCCAGTCAGGATCCGGTTCTTCCTGAGTTGTGATAAGGGGATTGATGTATAGATGCTGGATTCCTGGAATCAGGTCTTAGAAAACTGAAGTTATTAGGTCTCAAACTCATCTCTGGTTAGAAGGTTGGAGGTTGAACCCCTACTCCAGAAATGAGCACATAATCTAAGGTTTTTCAGTGCAGTGCTGAAGAAATGCTGCACAGTCAGGGGTGCCAACTTTCTAATGATACTTTGAAAGACTCGAGCTAAGAGTTTATTTAAAAGTGATTCAGAGATAGTAGGAACTGCCAGTGCTGGAGAATCTGAGATAACAAGGTACAGAACTGGATGAACACAGCAGGCCAAGCAGCATCAGAGGAGCAGGAAAGTTGACGTTTCGGGTCTGGACTCTTCTTC